GGCAATTGAAACATTGACTGATTGTTTTTGGTTTATATGGTTCTTAACTTTAATTTTACAGTGAAGTAGTGAAGAAAGTTGGACAATTTCATTTGACTGAAATGTTGGCTCAAGATCAATGAAGAATAGTGGAGGGTTTGCTGACTTTGTGTAACACATTAGTAACTTTCTTATTTAAAACACCAAACTTCTAACTCCTCTTTATTAGAGTTAGAGGCGTGGTGCAGGCTTGCGAATAACTACTGGAGTGGTTTGTCCTCTTTCAATGCAGTAATTTCAGCTTTTCAGCTTTTAGAAATTATATAATGTTTTGTACGCACTAGGTTCGTGGTTTGAATTTTAATGAAGTTGCACATTAAATTGTTACACCAATTAGTCGATTAAGGTCTAATTATGCTCGGGATAATCTTCGACACCTTGACAAATATAAGTGAGGAGGTTTAATGAAAGTTTCGGCATCAGCATTATTAGTGCCGTTTGATGAGAGTTGGCATTTTCAACAGTAGAGTTTCAAACAAATCGTCTTAAGCAAGTGTTTCGAATCTGTTACGTAACAAAAATCTTTATTTATGGTTTGTTAATATAATATTTTACTTGGATTCGAGTTGACGGTTCGTTTGTGTTGACCGGCTATCATTATTCATGCTGTTTGAATCGGGCTATTTGAAGGACTGGGGCGAGCCTCCTGTATATTGGTTTTGTTTTGTTGATAGTAATAATTTTATTTGTATTATTAGTTAGCACATTTGGTGATTTAGGCATGTTTATCTCACGGACAAAGGTAGTCCACTGTTCCGCGGCGCGGTCGAACGGGGTAGAACACGATCCGTACGGTCCTATCAGCGTACGGAATCGTATACATTTTAAGACACACGATTCCGTACGTTTTGTACCCAAGAGTTTAGTGCAATGTTGCCAGATTTGTCTATTTGACTTAGGCCGGGGCCACACATAGCGGTTGAGCCGCAGCGGCTGAACCGCCAAAAATTTCAAATTTTGATTTTAAATGCAATACGTCTCGATACGCGTTCACACACATACACGGTCGCGTTCGAGTCGTCATGTATTCCGCGGTGTTTCACGAATACTTTAAATAGTATGGTCCAAACAAACGGTTAAATTTTGCCAGCCAGCCGCCTTGTTCTTCCACAGTATGCCGGAGCCGGCGTCCGGCGTACTAGGTGAACTTACTGATTCCAGCGAAAATAGCACTGTCAATTTACCACAATCTAACTTATTTATAAAATCGACTGTAAATCCGGTCGTCTGTTTAGTAACATTTATAAACTTGATGTACAACAATGATATATATACCTATCAAAATTTTTGATGTATCATAAGATATCATATCTTATCTTAATTAGGTATCCCTGCGTGACCGTTGCACGTTATACATTTTACCAAGTCACCAGTCGACAACTTTTGTGATTTTGTGTAGTGTTAAAGTGCGGTGTGTTAAACAAATATAATTTTATTAATTTAGTCAATGATATGGAAGTCAATAACGAAGTGAAGTTTATTATTTCTGAAAAGGAAAACCACTTATGTTACTTAATTTGTATAAATATCGGCTTATACGAACACGAAAAGATGGTCTTAAAAATGGTGTATAAAAGTCGTGCTACTGTAGCATTGTAACACATGGAAATTTACTCCACGAAACGACGAACGAACATAACCATAGTGAAAATTCAGTCCCTATTGAAAGACAAGTTATAAGAGAAACAGTAAACGCAAGCAGTGAGTTATATTTCTGTTCGACCTATAAAAATAATTCGAACAGAACTCGTAAATAGTGTACATTCAGAAATTGAACATAGGGATAACGACGACAAATATATCCGGCTTTTCCTAAATTATTAGAGTCGATTGAACAACTTAAAAGTATGGATAATAATGAGTATTAAATTTAAAGGTGACCAATTTGTTTTGTGCCCGATAACAAATTATTCCTTGTATTACTACAGAACAAAATCTAAATTGTATGGTTGAATCATCAGATTTTTGCCGATGGTACTTTTAATTATGCACCAAAATATTATACTCAGCTCTATACTAATTGTTTGCGAAATGGCTTTTATATACCCGTGGCTTATTTTTCTTGCCTGAAAATCTAAATCAACCTACATTGACATGTGATTGTAACCTTCAAGATTTAGAAACTTATTTTCAAAAACTGTTATTCGCAAAATACATTAGATTTTAGTTCCGAGTAAGGAAAACATACACGATTTTGACAGTATTCTCCTTCTTGAATACACCGGGTACAAGAGGAAAATCCGGAGTGTCCTTTGATTTTGAGAATAAACGATTTTGCAGGGGCATCACAAACAAACATATTAATTGTAACTTTTTTAGTAACATTATTTATTATGATACCATTTTGTAAAAGGTCTGTGGCTTCAGAAATAAAGTCAGCTAAAAAATCATCACTATTATTAGGTTTTGAATTTCCATAATAGATGCCCACAGGAAAAACAAATTTTGGCATATCAATAATATAAGCCAAAATGGGCCACAATTGGGCGTTGCTACTTTTAGCCAAAGGTAAACCATCAATACCAATTGAAATTTTAATTTCAGATAAACTTGGCAATGCATATCTCAAGTTCCCTGCTGTTAGTCCAAAATGAGAGTATTGCCCCGGGTGAACACTACGGACATTATTATTTATACTAATTGAGCGTGGGGTTTTTAATAATGTACGACTATCAAGTGGAAGATCAGTGGTATTAATATTTTTGTGTTGTTTCATTAATTTTAACAATTTATCTATAGTAGCATGAGGAACATTGCACTGAACAGCCCAACTATTTAATTCCTCCCTAAATGAATGGCTATTTTGACTATTTTCCAAAGATACAGCAGGTATAATATTATTAATTGATTCATTTGGAGATGTAGAAGAATAGTTAGTTACTTGCTGAATACAATTAAAATGTTGGTTATTAGATAGTAACTGTAAAGAAGATAAATTGTCTGTTTCACAAAGTGGTATCTGAAGGGATTCTGGATTAGTAGAATAAATATTATCATTGTTTTCCCTTGCATATGTGTTATCATTGGTATTGGAATAAATATTATATATTGTTCTTAATTCTTCTTGAGTCTTACGCCGTTTAGAACGATTACTTTTAATCATCTTGAGTAATTGATAATATATTATTAAAACAGTATAACTTTGATATCTCATAGGTGAATGACATTTTTACAAAAGTAATATGTGACTTATATGTGCGTATAAAGTAACACATCAATAATTATATGAGAAAAAAGATAATAAATCTGATAACAATTAAAAAAATTGTAATTTTTTGAAAAATTAGAAAAAACCGCCGGATAACGATAAATAATGGCGAAAAAATCATTTGTCCACATTTAGCATAATAAGCATCACGCGCTTAGCACGTGATTCGTCCCCAACGTATTTTTCAGATAATATTGTTCAGTCTATAATTCATAATCCGGTATCACGTGTTACACACGACATTCGTCCCTAACGTAATTTTTTCAATATTAACTGTAGTCCTCAAAGTGTTAAGTATTGTATAATTTTATCTTTTTATTATTATATAAATTTTATATTTTAAACGAATTAACTATAATTAATATTAAATAGCGACATATAAAATATTTATCAAGTATTATATAATTATTTTTTTTTACATTTTTAAAATTTTAAAATTTTTTTTACACGAATTGACAATGTTAAATGGCAACATTGCACAGACAATCGTACGCAATTGTGTTGTTTTTGGGGCCTTTTTGACAATCTATTGTTTGAACAAAATCGTACGGAATCGTGTTCCCAAAAAGGTAAAACGTACGGAATCGTGCTTTACCGATTGACCGCGTATTGGTGTCTATTTTCGTACGAATGTAGGTCAATGGGCTCTGGGTTATTTTTATTGTGCTTGCCGATGATCACAGATACCGGTTTCCGTAATGTATAGTCGCGGGTACGTATATCTGTGTATTCCGGTCGACTATCGCGATTAGGGACGGCGACGGCGGCGGTGGTCCGGTTTTGTGGTGTGTGTGAATCGGCTACTTGCGTGGGTATGCTGGGCGGGTGGTGGTGCGAAAGGTCTTATCGCGCTCTTGCGTCCTACCTATCCTACTCCCCGTGTGTTAGCAGCATCGCGCGCGGTGACTTCGGTGCGTCTGTAAATCGGGTGGCGCGGCTATCGTTACGTACTATCTGATTATGTTACGTAACGCCAGTTTTTCCGTAATAGCCTGCAAACCACGTTTTTGTGGTGTGGTCTTCGGGGAAAGATTTGCAAGTTGCACAATGGGAACACGATGGTGGTAGTATGGGTAAGTTTAAAAGTGTTTCACTTACCGGTGATTCCAGTTTGGGGAGCTAATTCTGATGCGTCCCTGTAGGTGAAGAGGAACGACGGGTAACGGTAGGTGGTGAGTAAGAATAAAAAACACTTCTTTGTTTCCGTGTTAAATCGGCTTATGTCGGTTTATTCTTGCGTAAATAAAGCGAAGTTATTAGATTACACAATATGTGGTCTGTGGTGACCGATTAGCGAGTCTTACAAGTTCACTAAAAGCAGTCGACGAAAAAATAATAAAAATGTCGCACGAGGTCGGAGATGTACCTAGGACGGTGTACGTGAAAAAACTAAACTCCGGTCGTCGGACCGGTTCACGGTATCGGCGGTCAAGACGTTCCGACGTCGTTATCGTGCGTCGGCGTCGTCCGTCGTCGCTGGCGGTTGGATAGAGAAGTCGTTCCGCGGTTTTCCGCGTAAAGGCCGTTTGAATTCAAACAGATATTAGGCGGGACCGCGTCAATATTAAAAGAACAATGTTTGTTGTCATTTAATAAAATAAAATATTTGTAAATTACAATGATAAAAACGTAGTTTTTAAAATAAAATTTCGTTTTATTTCAGATGGAAATTATGTAAAAAAAAATATTTTTAAAAACTTTAATAATTTCATAATTTTTAATCTCAATTAAACGTCGTTGCTATAAAAATGATTTACATAGAGTTTTCTGGAAGTTCTGATTCTAAAACTATCGATTGATTATTTTTATAGAAATTATACCAGTTTAAGATATGGTGTTGTATTCGGCAAGAAGTCCAAAAACAAAAGAAAAAATCTGCACACAGTATTGACCAACAAGCGCTAAATGATACAAATCGATAAGCCATGTCATATTTGATCTGAAAAATATTAAAATAATTTGATATTTATTTCATAAATAAACTATATATTATACATTCCCTTTTATTTTACTATTTTTTTCTCTTTCTTATCGTAAGGAGTAACTAAAATAAGGTTTTTAGATTAATTGCTTGTGTTTAATTTGTCAATAACCAATAAGATATTCAAAAAATTGTTTGTCTCATCATTGATTTATAATTTGATAGGTAAGAGGTTATAATATTATTGATGTATAACACAAGAAGATGAAAGGAAACTCAGAAGAAAATTAGACTTATAAATAAGGCAATAAATGTTATTAAAAATGTGACACTGGGTTGATGAGTTAATCGTAGGAAAAGGATTTAACTGATTTAAGTATTACACTTGTATAGCAAATTAAATTGGTTTAAACATCAATTATTAAACAATCATTGTTAACATTGTTTAAGAAGGAAACTAAATATTGTTACGCTAACCATTAATTAATTTTCATGAGGTTTATATCATGGTTTTGTCATGTTATTAGTATACGTGACTTAGAAACAGAAAAGCGACTTATTTATACAAATATTGCTGAAAACATTTAAAGGAGAAGAATTCAAGGAAAATATAGTAAAACAGAATAGAGAATTACATAAAATTTACTATTGTAAGGGAAATTGGAAGTAAGGGATACTGCTTTCTAAATCTCCTAAGCTAATGGGTCAATTTAATTATAAATGTATTTTTCATGAAGACTTATTGGTGTTTTTTGATTTTTTTATGTACTTATCTAGGTTGCTTTAGGTCGTCTCACATATAAATTGTCCAAAAATTTACTAAAATCAAAACTTTTCTTAGTTTATAATTAGGATTAGGTATCACCATTGGATACAGAAATAATTTAAAAAAGTATATATTACTATAGGAATTTTTTTTTTTAATATGATAACGTAATATTTAATTTATATTTTATTATTTAAAGTATACCGCATAGACTCAAAAACAACTCGACAAATTTTGAAATATGTTTCAGAGATTGCTCACAGATCTGGGTATCAGAAGAGTTTTTAAAATAATTTAAACAACATTCAAAATATAAATAATGAAATATTCACTATTATAAAGTTAGGAATCTTGATCGAATAAGTTCACAAACGTTGATTTATATATGTTACCGGCAAAGTCGTAAATTAAGGAATTAATGTTAATGACTAGTCAGTAACGATATTTCCAATCAAATTAGGCAGTACACGATATCGACTAGGAAATATCGATCATTTCTGTTATTATCAGTCAATGATACATTTAAAAATATTTCCTAGTTAATGACAATAACTTCGGGCTTTTTCAGGCATAACTGATAAAAATATCAAATAATTTATTTGTTTATTGGATTAGAAATGTTCTTGTGTTGTAAAATCGATTCATCGGTTTATTTAGGTATAATTAGTATGTACTAATCACTTCTAATATTTTGACGGTCGTACATTAGGTACCAATTAAGTAAAATATAGCGATAACATGTATTTAGTATCCATCTATAGTAATTGCCTTCAAAGTCGACCGATTTGTTAGTGCACAGTTCATGTTCATTTCACATTCAGTACAGATTACCGTACATGTTATATTCTGACATCGATGTCAGTGAGTTCATACATTTTCGTATAATTTTAATCGTTTCATTTTTGCTATGGAGATCGAAGAAATGAAAATAAAATTCGAAAATGCAATTTTCTCATTAATTGATGAGAAGAAATGGGACGATAACACAGCATACATCATTACCGTGCAGTATAACAAAAAATATCGGCTATTAAAAGTGCGAAATTAAAAAAAAAATCACAAGATTACAGATTAGTTCGTAAGTACGGTATTATGACTATTTCTGGTAAAGAAAAATTAATCAACCCCATATCAGATGGAACAGTTCTCTATTATTTGAAAGCTGATGAAATATTTGGCGTTCTATATGCTACTCATATTGCAATTGGACATGGGGGGAGAGATAGGCTAGTGACTGAATTAAAACATAAATATTATGACGTTACCAAAGAATCAATTATGGATTTTTAAGCTTCTGTTCATATTGTCGAAAAAACACCTAATCCGAAAAGGGGTTTGGTTTCGAAGCCTATTGAGCACACAGCTCTTAACTCTCGGGAACAAATTGATCTAATCAACATGCGATAACAATATTATAATGATTATCATTTTATTTTAAATTATCAAGATCATCTTACGAAATGTGTATTATCAAGCCTCTAAAGTCAAAACGTGCACAAGAAATTGCTATAAATTTATTAGGTATTTATACTACTTTTGGATCACCGCCAATTTTGCGTTCTGATAACGAACGAGAGTTTGTCAATTCAATTATCACTAATCTTAATGAAATGTGAAGTGATATAAAAATTATATATGGTAAACTACAACAAAGCCAGAGTCAAGGGTCAGTAGAACGTGCCAATAGAGATTTTGAAGCAATCTTAGCTGCATGGATGTCAGACAGCAATAGTAAAGATTGGCCAACCGCTCTCAAGTTTATCCGGTTTCAAAAAAATCGAGCGTTCAATTCAGGTTAGTAATCTTCTATTATTATTTAATTAATTATTAACATAATTTATACAAAAAATACTATTTATATTAAAAATATGAAAATATTAAATCAGAAATAAAAATAAAAAATTCTAGGAATAGGTTGTTTTTCTTATGAAGCCATGTTTGGCTGTGCTGCAAAAATTGGATTAGCTTCAACAAATATTCCTTGCGATAAAATTTCTACTTGAAATCAGAAGAAGACGTTGAAAATATATTTAAAAATCAAAATGAAAACATCGAAGAACTTGAAATTGAGGGTGATGGCAGTGGGAGCTAGGAGATCGTGATATTATAGGTACCTAATATTCAAAATGTAATAGTTGATTAATTAATATTTAATGATAATAATATATCAATACCTAATTTCTTAGATTTGAACAAAGATCAAATTAATAATCATAGATAAGGGGCCATAACTAACCTTCAAAGACAGGCACAAAAAATGATGAAGTATTCTAATACTATGTTGACAGAACTTCAATTAGTAACTACTGTAAGAGTATCTATACCTGACTTGGATAGAGCACATGGCTCAACTTTTAATCTTTTGGCGGTCATTGTTGCATATGAGCTAATATATATAAATTATGTAAGTACAATAAAAATTAATTGTTAAAATAAATTAATAACAATATTAAAATAAATTACTATGTAGGTACGAAGTATGGTTACTAAAACATAGATTGACTAGATCACAACTGGTTCCTTGTCTTGAAAATATATTAAACTATGAAAAGACAATCGCGACTGCCGGAGTAAAAAAAAATTACCGTTCGTGAGGCTACTGGATATGGAATCGCGGGATAACAAGGGTATACCAGAGGTATTTGTAAGACAGGATGCAAAACTAATAGATGTACTTTAAAAAAAAAAATAAAGTTTTTTGCAATTCAAAGTGTCACAGTACAATAAATTGTGAAAATAAATAATTATGTATAATTTATATAGTATTTATAAATTTCTGAACTAATTTAAATATTTCGTTAAACATAATTATCAACATTGCCTATCAGTATTAAACATAAAGGTAAGTTCTTAGTCATAGTTCTAAATGTGTTAATAAAATATTTTAATTTTACAAGCAACTACTAATGTTAGGAATTTATAATATTGGCGAGGCATTTACGTTATTAACTAATTTATATCATTGACGGTAACATATGTATACACAGGTATATAAAAAACGAAATACACCGACATAATACCATATTATGTTTCAATATTCCTTTATTTTTCCTGGGCGAAGACAGGTTATACAAATAGTATGTAATAAATACCGCGAGTTCACCAATTTAAGAATCACTGCATTTCTCGGCCAGATTTATTGGAATGAATTGAATTTTTTTCAAACTAGTGGTATATAAATATACTTTTTTATAGAAACGTTTCAAAATGTTTATAATTTCGGTTTACGCGTGTGCAATAAAAATATTTTTATTTTTTGAATAACAACAACTATTTTGAACACCACATTTGATAGGTCTAGTTTTTAAGGTAATTTTGATGTATCGATTACGGTTATAAATTAAAAATTGACTGAATAAAAACCATTTCAATTTTAATAAATAGTTAATTTTTACAATTCATTTAAGTGCATAAAACTATTTATTAATACTATTATTAATTATTGGTTACTTTTTGAATATTTTAATTTTTTTTTTTTTTTATGTGGAGACATTTGAAAACAAAAGTCTACAAAGAACCACCAGTTAATCTAGCAGATTTAAAAAAATAAAATCATGGTTGTGATCAAATATGTCAGCAACCAATAGAGGATGTCTACGTTTTTAATTATGAGTCAAAAATAGCGGAGAAAAGTTTGAACAATTTATTCAATCATTTGTATAATTATAAAATTCATAAAAAAAATTTAAAAATCATTTTGTTTAAAGGCATCTTTAGTTTGTAATATATTTTGACTTAATTTTATTCTTAACTTGAACATATTAAACTGCAGGATAATACTATGATGTTAAATTATAACACCGTTTCATAGAAAATAGTGCCATATACTCGTATATGCATATAAAATATGTAAATTATTCAATATTTTTTATAAATTGATTACTATCCAATTACTCACAATTTAAATTTGTTAAATGTTGACAAAAATCTTTGGATTAAAAAAAAATAATAATAAGAAGAAAATAGATAAACAATACAATATAAATGCTGTTTGAAAATGTAATATCATCATAACATTTTAAAAATGAACCGTCTTTTTTATTACCTGAATTTTTGTGTTAAAAATATGCTCGGTTATGGAAAATCCAATGTATGAAAATAAAGATATAAATGGTAATGTAATAACCAACACACATCCATCATAGAACAACTCTTTGATTTCTTCTTTGTTTTCACTACTGAAAAACCACGCTTTAATTGATCCTAGTAATGAATATCTATAATATAATGGACATAGCAAATCAGAAGTGTAATTTTATATCAAAATGGATTTTTTGTTACATTGTAATAGTATAATATTATAATTGTATCTGTAAAAATTACAACAAAATATTATCATATATTATATTAAATATAATTGTTCATCATAAAATAATGTATAATTTTTATATTTCAGCTATCATTACTTTGTGACCCGTTTCGTTTTATATACAAATGTACAAATTTCACAAATAGTAGAGCTGGCTTGAAGTAGCCATTTTTCTAAACATGTTTTGTGCACCTTAGATATACTCCCACGACAAAAGCAAGGAGAGATGCATTTATTTGATTCATCCAAATCAGACTGTAGACAAATTCTACAAAGACTGGGTGCTGCTAAATACATAGAAAATAATTTGTAGTAGATTAAAAAAAAAAAAATTTTTTTTAGGTTTATATTTACTTATAATCTTAGAGTCTTTGAATCCAGATGAAGTAGATACCAACATATCTGTACTTATTTCGTTTTCTGAAGATTCGCTAAGAACCTTTTCATTAAACGATGAACTTAATTCATTTTCTCTTTCAATAGAATACGGTATTTGATTTTCAACACCAAGAGTATCTATAAATTTATGAAGCATATTAGTATATATTATTCAATTAACAAAAGAAAATAGATTTAATACCTGGGAATAAAATATGTACAATAGCTTCTGACATATTTTGTTTAATTTTATATTATTTTTTAAAATTTTTGTTATGTTTAATTTAATCATGTTTTATTTATTTACTTTAACTTAAAATCGATTTTTTTGTCATAGAAACTTTACAAATAATTTATGTTATATTGAACTATGAACAGGTATATGCTTAAAATAATATTGGATGATAATAAGTTTATAAAGAATTATCATTTTTTTTCTTTAAATGAACCAGCATTGAGAAAAAAATAAATATATTTAAAACTATAGCCAATTAAAGTAGTCTGTTAAGAGAAGTCAATGTGTTTGTAGGGAAACATGGGTTTACGTTAATTTAACGTAATGTTTCTAAACTATAGTGAATATTTTTCTGTATCTTAGAAGTCATTTCTTATAATAATCAGGAGTGGATAATCGAGGAAGATTTTAAAGTTGCTTCCCCTTTCAAATGAAAAACAAACCACTTATACATAATAATTCACTAAAAATAAAAATATGTATTTAAGTATTTTTTATTTAAATTGAAAAATACATCGTTTTATTTATTACTGTTGAAGGCTAAAAAATCTTGAAACTATAAAAATTTATTTCAATGAAGATATTATTTTAGTAATTTAGATGACAGTCACCAAATTCAGTAAAACTACCGTCAGACAGTTTTAATCATAAAGGTCTATTTACATATACTGACATCACGCGTAGCAGACACGTATTGTGATATTAGACAAAATTATATCAAGAGGCCGTTCTGGTAGAAGTGAAACGTGTTGCGTCCCGTTGAATAACGCCGATTCATATATCCACGCGAAAATGATAATACTGATATATTAAATATATAGTAAATCTTTATTTAATTTATAAAAATATATATAAATACACTAATGTAAGTACAAGATGTTTGGTGAGCGGTGTTACGACCTGACTGAGGTTATCGCTGAAACGAGCGTGTAAATAGTGTTATGACCGGCCTCTAAGCGTCTTAGATATCCCTAACCATCTGGTGAGCTCTGGCTCATGTTATCCTTATAAATGGTCTTTAAACAATGAGAGTAGACGGTGGAGGTGGTGACTTACGATGACACGTATACCCTCGATTCATGATCAGTGTTCTAATAAGTGATAGGCCTTGTCTTCTCACAGTAGCAATGTTTTCTGAGAAATTCTCGGCGTGTAATTGTATCTAAATTTCTTAATTAAATATTACAATGTACTCACCATCCGTCCTGGTCTTTTATTGTCTGTTACATTCACTACACGAATCATGTGTCACCTCATTATATGAATACATGTGTTATAAACTACCAATATTATTACATAGTCTGTGAATATATAAGTATCGCAATAAAATATTCAATATTATTACGGGGCCTGTAATATAAATTATCAGCGTTGTATGTCAAATGTGCTCTTATTGGACAGTTAGCCCCAATGATTCACACACGTAGGTTGATTAATAAATATAAAATACAAAATAACACACCCGAATTTATGTGCTGAATAAAGAGCTAAAAGGCACACCGTACTATTGATAATAATATAAATACATATAATAATAATAATAAGGTGGACGCACGGCTTTAGATAGGATGGGTGCAGTACGGTGTATAAATTCTACAGAACGTTTTTGAGTTACAAATGTTCTCCAAAAACCAGCTGATTTTACCTACGATTCTGCAGTGCCATCTATAAGTTCACTTTTAAAATTTGATAGATAAGAAGATTACAGCATTATCCGTGATTATATTGATTATAATACCGCCAAAATATTAAATAAAAATATTTTCCATCACTATATATTCGTATTTCGTAAATTCACTGAGAATTGTAGGTTTTATTTATTTTTTAATTTTATTTAAATAAAAAATTGAATATGTATATTTGCTGTGTACGTAAACCTCATGATGCATCAAAATTAATATTTTGTGTTCCCCAAAATTAAAACGAAAAAAAAATATGGGAAAATGCTTTGGGAATGGTTTTAAAAAAGAGCCATCGTGTTTCTGCTCAACATTTTGAATCCTCAGAAATTAAAAATACTTGGGAGCCTGGCATCGGATTATAAAAATACACGGTAAACATAACATTTTAACTGAAAAATTGTGACTATAAACTTAGTATGTAGTTCTTAGATATGTTTGAAAGTTCCCAGATTAGTAAAAGGAGCTGTACTAAAATTAAATTGTAGTAATACAAGTTAACTACACAAAAATTAAAAAAAATTTAAAACTAACATTTTAACATTAAAATTGTTTTTTTCTAGCCTTTGCTACAGCAAAAATTTCAATCAGCTCATTAAAATCTAATGAGTCACAAATTTCTTGTTCAATCGATAGAGTAGCCAAGCTTGTAGGTTTAGACTGTGATAAAGTACTCTTTAAATAGTTTTTAATTATTTTCAATTTGGAAAAACTTCTTTCCGCACCAGCAGATGTAACTGGAATTGATAGTATTATTCTGAGTGCAATCGAAATATTTGGAAAAGAACCGTAACATTTTTTTAGTACTGTAAGAGCTTGAAAAGCTGTAATTTCTTCAGAAATCTTAATACAAAAAATAAGTCATTATTCATAAAGTTTATAACCATCAATATCTTTTAATTCGCCATCAGTTAAAACATTTTGTAAATCATGGCAACATTTTATTAACTCTTTTTTTTCCATGAATTTTATTTTGTTAATCCGATATAAAAAACCAAAGTTATTATTAAACGATTCAAGCTGTAAAAATCTCATATTCATGGAAACGATAACTTGATCAAAAATAGTTAAAAAATAATCTTGGTAAAAAATAGTTTCCTTATTTTTAGATGGTACATCTTGAGCTTCATATGAAAATATTTTTTTTTTTGGTTCGTATACGGGTTTTTTTAAAATCAGTAGAAACTCCTATAGCCTCTGCCAAATCTTTTGCAGTTGTTTTTGCAGATTTAAAACCAGTATTTCTATAGTTCTTTAAAAACGATAGTAGCCCACTTAACATACTAGCTGAAATATCTAAATCCATGTTCGGTCTCTGAAGACTTTTGCTTATTGTATTAACTTCTACTAAGATATCATACCAAATAATTATACTTAGAATAAACTCGTAACTACCGATTTCATTTTCTAAAAATTTACATTCACTTCTTATTAAAGAGTCTGACGATGTATTTGATATTTCTTCAAATGCATTTAAAATTTCAGGCATTTGATATCGAATCGCCTGAATACTTTTAAGGCGGCTCTCCCAGCGAGCTTCGGACCATTTCTTCACAGTCATAATGTGACAATGCTTATTTAAAATAGCCCACCTAGAAATAAATGCGGAAAAAATTGTGTATATTCTTTCAATTGTTTCAAAAAATGTAATAGCTTTAGCTGAACTTTTTGGGATATCGCGAAGTAATAAGTTCAAATTGTGTGATGCACAAGGCATGAAAAAAGCTCTAGAATTAAGTTGAAGAATACGTGATTGAACTTTCCTTAATTTGAGATAAACAATCTATACCCTATGGGCACAATAAGTTTATATGGTTAGAGTAATTTATAACATGATACGCTTGACGAGAGAAGTCATCCACTAATGACACTTAATATTGATTTTTTTTTTTTTTTTTATATATATATATATATACAACTTAAGCAACTGATGCTCTGACTTTGGATTAGTTGATGGGAGGGGGGTGAGCAAGTAGGTCACGACACCATTTTCGTTTTAAACGTCTGGGTGGGTTTCCAGGAATCGAAAGGACTGCAAGATTACGTATTAGCGGGTTGCTATTAGAGGAAAGACGGTTGTGGAAGCGTTGGTAATGAGCTATAGCTTCTTTGCGTACCAATTTCATTTTTAAATCAGTGTGAATAGTGTGGTTTGAAACGTAAGGAGGAGTATTTAAAAGTTTTCTAAGTGCTATGTTTTGAAAAGTTTGTATTTTATTTATGTTTGATTTTTT